GTTTTTTCCCACTCTTCAAACTGAGTAATCATCTTGCCATTCCTCAGTCATGTCCGACATTCCACTTGATGGTTTAGTTGCCTGGAAATAATAAAACGACATGAAATCTATAGAGCACTTCATAAATGCCTAGGTACAACGCTAGTACACATTCAGATTCATGCGCGATGCACATGTAGAATTTCATAAGCTTCGCGAAACAAATACCATGTGTTTATTGGCCAGTTAAATATTCGGCACGGGAATGAATGCGCAAATGGAGGTCGAGATCACGTTGTGAGTGAGAGTGAGAGAGCCACGAGACTTGTTCTTACCCTAAAATGGTGACCCATTTGTGATGACAATACTAGAGAGTGAAAAAACACAAAGATAATACTTACTGCTGTAAACATCCCAGCTATTATGTTAGCTTTCTTTTTTTTCACTTTATTCTTCTCGCGTATCGATTTCAAACGCTGTTGTGTCCTCTTCTTAGTTCTCTCCGGGCATCCATCCTGGCGTGTTCTATCAGTTTTACTTCTTTACAGGCATACTTGTAGTCGTCATCCCTGCAAAACCGTACTCTTATTGCAACCAACAGCTAGTGAGGGCGAAAAGAACGAAAGAGGTAGTGATATGGTAATATTGTTACAGCGGTGTGCACTATGGAAACATCTGAAAAAAAAAAACATTTTCGGTCAATAAATGTACCGTCCGCTGGAACATTTTTGACTTACCTCTCGATTCGTGGCGCAGATACTTAGGAACACCACAGATCCCTAATGAAAGAGAAGAACAAACACGATGAGAGATAATCATCAGCGAGAAGCTATTACATTAAAGAATATCCAGTAGCTGCAAAGACAGTGACATCACTTTGTGGCAAAAGAGAAGTTGAAATATTTTATTTCTATTCATTGCTTATCCATTGAAATTCGAACTGTGTAACATGATATCCTTCCCTCTTGAGACACACATCGAATATTTTACAATGTTTTGACATGCAAGAGGGAAGTTGTACTTTAGTCTATATACACTGCTTTTATGGAGAGAACCCATTCAATTTGTAAACACAACCCAAAACTAATTGACCCTAACTAATTGATGGGGCAACATAGAACAGCACATAGTCCCCGAGTCCTAAATTGCATGGGATTGTCAATTCAATTCGTTCCAATGCAAGATAACAACATTCAAATTTATGCAAATCTACAAAGCATACTCACGAATACAAAAGACGACCCCGCATATATATAATCCATGAGTAGGCTAGGTAGTGCATAGCTCGTCACTGCGCATGTCCAGGTTAGCATGCACGCTCCGTTTATTAGAAAAACAGAACGAAGATCTTCCCTGACAGAAAAAAAAAATACTATATCACTAATCTGTTCTTTCCCCACATAC